GACTTTGAGGGCTAGGAAAATGATGGCCTTGACCGTCATGTCGGTGCTCTTCTTTGTGACGATACCTCAAGTGGGAGCCACAACAAACCACATGCAACCCTACCAAAACAATGCTACTAATTCGCGGTGGTAAGATGTTTTGTTTGTTCATGCTTGTTGTTGCTGCTGCTAGTGCTGCTGCTAGTGTTGTTGTTGTTGTTGCTGCTGTTGCTGTTGCTGTTGTTGTTGCTGCGGTTGTTGTTGGATGATGGAGATGAACAAATCTGAATACCAACCTGTGAGCCCTCAGAAATTTCCAGAGTTCTCCAGCACGCAAAATCAGCAACAAGTATTGTTCTTAAAATGCTACAGATATGGTTCAAACAGATTCCCCTTTCGCTTTTCTATCTCTTCAATGTCAACCCTGGATAAATGAGCCCCTAGGGAGGGGGTTAATTCGAGAGCTTCACATTACTTGTGGACTACAGTTGTCATCTTCACATGCTGCGGTTTCATCAGAAATGCTGAATCGGCATTTGCAGTAAACGTAGGTCGCATGGGTCATACAATTTAGAAAATCATGAATCCCCACTTGCAGGGGTGCAAGTGCTTGTATCTGGCAATTTTTGTTCCATGAGTCCCTGTAGATTTCAGCTAGGCCTAGGCTGCACCAGTTGCAGTTGCTGCCCATCACCTCTTCCTCCACGTCCAAACCCCTCAGCAATGCATCCAGTGACGTTTCAACTCCTTCTCAAATTTCTTGATGCCTCCATTGGGCTCTCCATCCTGGTTTTTTTCCCGCGAGTTCTGCAGCTGGTGGATTTTAAGCGTTCAACACACAGCAGGAGAACTCTGATTTTTTCGTGTCTCTTTTTTGATTGCAGCTTTCATAAATTTCATAGCATATGGTCCACTGTCTGAAAATACGCTGGTAAAACAGTTGCCAAAAAAAGTCCCGCTGTTCATGGGGGAAGAACATCATAGCTACGGTGAACCATGGTGAACGGCAGTTCCCTTGAATGTTCAGTCCCTGGCAAACCAGCTGCTCCGAGCAGGAAATCAAATAGTGGGTCTTTCAGTCTTCCACACCTATTTTAATTTACGAGAGGGTAAAGCTCGGGAGAGAACTCATATCAGCGCTACTTGCAATCTTTCAGAACAAAGGGGCGTCCCTATTGAGTTTTTGATGGCTATGCACCACGACTATCACCTATTATTGAATCATCTATTTGTGCAACTATGGGAAACATCAGTGCCTTTCCAACAACATGATTCAACAACAATCTAGAGAATCATATATCATACTGTGGACGCAACTCCAAATCATCCAACAACCATCTGGATGATCTACTACAAAACATACGACTCTAAGAATAGTTATCATCCAAGTTACCTTCTAGCCATTTAACATAGCCATGGACAATGGATGAAAATCGCATTTTTTAAAAGATGTTTTACCTAAACACGGTGATGTTGAATAATTATATAGCTATTATATAGCTATGCTAAATTGCCAGAGGCTATTTCTCATTCTAAAAACTGCACTTTTGCTGATGGTTTCAACGAAATTCGGGTGGCAACAGTCGCATCCCGAGACGACATCTCCATTTTCGACGCTTCGAAAAAGCAGCACGGTCATGGTTCAAAGAATCCGGATGATCATCAGAATATATATATATACATATGTACATATATACTATTACTAAGACAAATATAATTATATATATACTACACTACAGATGATAATCGGATGATATCAGATGTCGCCTTTCAAATCGCGAAATTTTGAGATGATCCCAGCGGATTTTGTTCATGGTTCATCCCTCATCCCTGCGCATCCCGTCTTCGGATGTCGAGTCACTGTGAAGATGATCAGCAGGATGGGCCTTTCTCCTGGCTGTGGAAAATTCTTGAAACATATCTTCTAGTAGACATATGTAGAGATATAACAATGTATATTAGCTAAAATGTAAATGTGATCATATATGTATTTATAAATATCATATATACGTTGCAAATGATACAGACAAATATAATGATCCTGGAAGATATTCCATCTACCTACAAGAAAGTATTATATCTGTATATGTGTCTCTCTATGTGTACATATACAGTTGCATGTGGATGGTTATAGATGGTTATATCACCCGTTGACCATTTGAGGTGTTGCCTGAAAATGGAAAGCGTTTGGGGCATGCCAACTTTTCAAACCCACATTTCTGGTGCTGAGCCAGGTATGGGTCTGGGTGGGATTTGAACTGCAGGGTAGCAGAAATTCGAAACCTTCACAGCTGGCATAGATCCCAAGATATCTCAATGATTGGTTGTCTTAACCTGGTTTAGACTGTCTCATGAATAGACTTCATAGATATCCAGCGACTTCGCGGCTAATTCTTCTATGGCTGGTTGGTAGATTTGCCTCCGATCAAAGGTTGACCCAGACCTTTGCAATTCTGCGCCACCATCTGCACAGTTTCCGTTAGGGGTGTAGTTCCTGGCGGCAAGGGAATGTCTGCAATGTCTGCGCCGGTGAAAGTAAAGAATCCCAAGATTTTCCAAGGGACATCAAGGGACATTCTTGGTGCTGGTCTCTTTACGGAGACCATCAATGAATCATGCAGGTATATGATATCTATCAGGTCTATGAATAAACAGTTTGCATGTATATATGTATATATATATACATAATTAATTATCTATATATATTCATATATGCAAATTGGGAACATCGCAAAAGTCTTTGACCCCTTCACATTGGAAGTCAGTGCACTGCCCAGTTTGACTCAACAATAATCTGAGTTTGGTGACATGTTTCATTGTTCCCTGTCCCCCGCACCATTGGGTTCCCTACCAGAATCAAGTATTCTTCAGCGTTTCCAGAATTATGTTGAATCTACAGATTGCCAGAAACCGTCCCAATCTGTATGTAATCTGGCTTTTGTGACAAACGTCCCGAATATCGGGCTATTCTGCTGCACCACCCATCCGCAAGAGCGTGCCTAGTCTGTTTGCGTCAAACACATTTCTCAATCGTTCATCCTGCGCACTCCTTGGACAAAGACGGGTCCAAACCCAATCCGAAACCATGTTGTTTCTTTTGCTATCTATTCTTGCAACAACGTGTCACAGGAACTGATTCTTGTTGTACGTCTACTGAGATATTCATATAATGAATAAGATGAAAGTATATCATATATCATCATATATCATCATATATCATATATCTGTGTTTCATCTTCTTTTGTTGTCTATTTTTCAATCAACGCGGATGACACACCGCATGGCCGGCGTGAAGAACTCTTCAACACCAACAATGCGAAATCCCCAAGTCACCATGGGTTTCTATACTATAATGATCTAATGACTTAAGATTCTTGATTTGGGAGTATCCCCATGACTTAGGAAACCTCCATTTTACCATTCCCCCAACTCGCATAGGATCCCTGTACCACCGCCCATTCCCCACAACTTTTGCACACACCAGGTCTCTTGACACCTGGGCTCGGCAGGTCTAGGCCAAGGACCCACGCATTTTTTGGTTCCCAAAACAATCATTCCCATGCAAAATGGGGGACTTGGGCACAATTTGTGCCTACAACTTTGGATGTTCCACTGATAGAAGGCATAACTTATCCACCGGAATATCAGGTGCTCAACGACAAAAACGGCCGGGTGGCCATCGATCAATCCGTTGTTCAGGAAGAAGACGTCCACGCCCGACCTCGAAAAAGAGTCCAGAAGCTGAGAAGGTGATGAAAAACCCACGAAAAGTGTGGTTTTGACACGGCCTTATCTGTAAAAGAAAAAACATCTGCATAACAATGTGCAAAAATAGCATCCGAAATTGGGATTGTTTTACCACAGAATGTCAACCATCAAAAAAGTTGGGATATCCACCATCAAGAATCTGTGGATTTAGCCACCCAAAATCGGACTTAAGCACCAAAAATGTAATTTAGTCGATATTTGTTTAAACATACTTACACAAATTGACATAAATATTCATGTTCACCAAATTATCGGAAATTCCAAAATATGTCAACATCTTCCAGTAAAAACTGCCAAGTCCGACTTCTTCATTTTGTGGATCGTTTACCCTCTGGTGTCATCAAACGTGGCAATTGAAAATCTTAAATTACAAATGATGTTCCCAGTTATCTATGATTTTCTCATGATTTTCCCGTGATTTCTAAATGTGTGTGGTGAATTCTCCGATATTTTCTCTATCTTCCCATACTTATCCCATGAGCTTCCCTTTAAAACCTCCACGATGACCGGAGGGTAATCCCTTTCGTTTCCGGCCTATCGAAGCAACACGCCAAGTCGATCAGCAGCGCAGCAGACTCCTTCAACTCATCCCAGCGCGTGGCGCCGCCCGCCTATGGCGAAGGGCCAGCTGGACTATGGTCAAAACATGCTATATGATATGGGTTAGGGCCATCCAACAACGATTGGGGATCATGGTATATATATAATATATACATACACTGTATGTGTATGTATATATATATATTATAACTAATTGTTCTTGTTATTGTTATTCTTCTTATTAATATTATTGTTCTTCTTATTGTTCCCTCGGACATGTCGTTACCGCGCGCAGATTTGGTGTAATGTGCATGTTCCTACGTTGTTTTAAGTTTTTTGGTATTTTCCCCTGTTGTTGTTTCATAGTTTTCCTGATTTTGTTGCGTTTGTTTTTCCCTTTTTCAGCATTTCCGGATGCGAGGTTTTCCTGTGCGTTTTGCAGAGTCTCTTCTGTTTGTCTTCTTGACTTTAATTTTCGGCTGTTAATTTGTTGGTGTTGTTTATCTAGTTTTTCTTGTCGTGTAGGTGGTTCACGTTTTGCAATGTGTTTTCCCACTTGCATTTTTACAATGTGTTCTTTCTGTTTTTTTTTCTATGCGTTTTATAGGGTTTTGGGTGGGAGGGTGGGGGTGGGTGGAGTGGGCTAATAACCTCCATGTGCACTTGCGCACGTACGGGGCTACGCTCTGACACGGTCATGTGTGATTAAGCACCTACGGGCGCCTACGGGCTTGTTTTCTTGAAGTATTTGTGTCCAAAGTATCTTTGTGGCTTTTGGATGCAGCAAGTTTTTTTTGGCCGATTTTCGATGTTGGCATGTTCAAGCATGGACCCGATCAACCCCTTTTTGAAAAGCGGGAGTGGAGTAATTAGGTTAATGTTCATATAATTTCACATTATATACATGTTGAGACACGAAAGATCTAGAGAGCATAGCATTTTCATGGAGGTGTAAGCAAACTTGGACGTGTCAACCCTGGCCGTGCACATGTCGATGTGATAGCAACTAGAAGGTTGCTGAGAACCCAGGCCTTGAAACTTGCTTGGGCGCAGTGTAGATAGAGCTGATTGTGGCAAAATTGGCCATCCTCCCAAGGATAATTATCTATAATTATCTATGATATCCAAAAGGACAACTCGTGCCTTTGGGTCTGAGTTGATTTTAAAATCTGCGCTCAACGAAGGGTGATTTTTTTTAGAGACGCCTGCGCGCGGCGTCTCGTCACGTCCGATCGTTAAAAATGTTGAATTCCCATATATTTTGATGGTGAAAAAAAAGAAAAAAATGGTGTTTTGCATCCATTGTTCTTGTTGGTTAAATGGGAAAATCCTCATGTTTTTTCTGTTCTTGTTGGTTAAATGACCACGTTATTGTTGCGAAACGCGGCCTCAAAGAGAGACCTCTGTCCAGCGGGTTTGCTGCTCAGCTTCATGCTGCCAGAGTCGTCGAGAATCATCACCTCGCTTTCTCCAGGGGATGGACCGGGCTGTCCCAAAGGGGGGCCATGAAATGTAGGGAAACGCTGGGAAACTATGGGAAAATATGGGAAACTATGGGAAAATTATGATAAATCATCTCTGATATCTAAATAGGGGAAGCGGTGATTCTGACCACAAAAATCTGGTGCTTTCTCAGTACTCGTTGTTCTTTTTCAACCTACGACATGATTTCACTAACCGCGGCCCTGCCTGGATGATTGAATGACTTGCTGGGAAAGTTTACAGGGAACCATTTTTCCGCATCGAGGGGATCGGGATTTGCCTGTAAATGTCCTCTCCATCCAATCCTCGGAAAGTCAGAAATTTCATAGATTAAAAGTCGGTGTTTCACAGCTAAAATCCGTCCATATCAAACACCACCTAAATGCTCCCAATTATGTGGAAAAAACCAAAAGAAAAAAAATGTTTTGTTTGGGGGTGTTTAATATTAGGGGAACTGATTGGTAATTCACGATCCTGAGTCACTAAGGAGTTCGGCGATTTGGGGATAATTCCCACAATCCAAAAAAACCGTCATGCCAGTGACGTCGCGCCACGTGAGGTCAAGACGGTCATGACATTTTTTCCAGAAATATGATAATAGTTAATGTCCCATTCTATCCATTATATATCCTTATAACATTTAATTATATATCTATGATATTATATTGAAGGTTAATTACCATACATAGTTACGACATATAATAAAATAAACCAATAGCAAAAATACAAACAAACATGTATATGTATATGTATATGTATATGCATATGTAAATGTATATGTATATGTATATGTATATGTATATCATATGTATATGTATATGTATATGTATATGTATACCAGTACTACCGCACAAGGCGGTGGCGGAAGTTTCAGAATAGGAAACCTATAGGAGACGTTGGTTGTTGTGAACCACGGATGGCAGAGCGAATCCACTGATTGACCGAAAGGTGGTTGGAGTTGTGTTTGCTGGAGTGGTTGCAATGGTTGCAGTGGTCACCTCACCCACAACTGCTTGATGTAGTGTGATGTACTGCAACTGTAGTTGTAGTTGTAACGTAGTGGAGTTGTAGTTGTGGTGTAATGTAATTAGTGTAGTGTAGTTGCAGTCATATAGTTGTAGCTGTAGTTGTTTTGTAGTTGTAGTTGTAGTTGTTGTAGTTGTAGTTGTAGTTGTAGTTGGTGTTGTTGTTGTTGTTGTAGCTGTGGTTGTTGTGTGGTTGTTGCTGTTGTGTAGTGTAGTTGTAGTAGTAGTAGTAGTTGTTGTTGTTGTTGTAGTTGTAGTTGTTGTTGTTGCTGTTGCTGTTGTTGTTGTTGTAGTAGTTGTAGTTGTAGTTGTAGTTGTAGTTGTAGTTGTTGTTGTTGTTGTTGTTGTTGTAGCTGTAGTTGTTGTAGTTGTAGTTGTAGTTCTAGTTGTAGTTGTTGTGTAGTTGTAGTTGTTTGTTGTAGT